TTGAGTGTCACAGTTATCCTTTCTACAGTATTGCTTTTCAGCTTGTCGTTTTTCTTTATAACTTTTTAGGACTTTTAAACATCATCACATATTACGCCCTCGCCTAATTTAAAGAGCTGTTGCATATTATTCTCAGGCAAACCGCAATGAGAATCATGCTGAATGGGAAATATTTGGCTCGAATATGGACAGAATGCAAGACGTGGAGGTTTATGTATGTGACGAAAAGTGTACAGTCAACAGGCAGATGTCAAGTAGTTCCAAGTAGTGTTTTCTGAAGAGGGAAAGGGGCTGTTCAATATAGAACTGATTTTTTCAATAGATTGTTGTGTTCACTCCCTGATGGATCAGACCAAGATGCTGCTTGCAACGTTCGCGTTGTTGGACGTCTAGAGGGCTATAGTGGGTTCGCCTTAGAAGTCAAGAAAACAACACACAGTGTTGCACTAATGACAGAACGTTCTCAACGTTCAAGGTTTGCATTCACTTCCATGGCATGTGCCAATTTAAAGGATTTTTTCTAGGTTTAAGTATAAAATTGTATTCCAGAACATGGAAAGAAATTATTGCGATTGTAGTTGTTGTCATTATCTTGGCTGTGCTGGGAGTGATTATATGCTTGGCAAGAAAGAAGATGAGGGTATATACTCGCCATCTCGATTCCCGGTCTCTCTGCCTATACAAGTTTATTTTAGAAGAAAGGTATTGCCACTGTGGAAATCACGAATAGCAATGTTTACGACGATGCGGCTATGGAACGTAAGAATTCGAGGGTCACCCTTTTACGGCACTATTCTACTAATTTTTTATAGGATATCTTAACAAACTTGATCACAATTTGGTGGACTTCGTTTCTCCATATGAGCAGATGTTTAGGTTTGTCTGTACCTTGAGAAATATAGTACTTTGTAATCAGGATTAAAACTGGCTTTACTTTGCCACTAATAGGTAGTAGACGTTGCCGTATGTTACCAGTTATACTCTTCTTCTGCTGTTTGCTTTCTCATACAGGAGTCTCGCATCCCGCACCTTCTAGCAGCTTTAAATAGCGTATTTAAAATTGCTTTCATGTCTTTTCACAACGTCAAATTGTCCCCACTCAAACCAAGATATTCCCTACTCAAACCAAGATATACTCGGATGCAGATCAATCTAGTAACTAGCATTGATATACATTGACCCTGCGTAACTATTTTTTTATTTTGCAAATTGAATGTACTTTCAGAGACATAGACGAGCGACTCAAAATAGATTTTTCGTCTCTTCATATTGAAGAAGAAATAGGAAGAGGTATGGCAATTCTTTGCTTATCACCTCCTAAACAATCGCGCTGTTAAACAATGTCGCATATAATGTTAATTTCAAGTGCTTTAACTTGTCCCATGGGAATTGATCTTTATTGCAGTAAATGGGTGAGAAAGTCAGTTCAGGGGTGTTCTAAGTCTTAAAACTCAATA